AAATAAATAAACAATATACGATTAACCTCAAGTTGTCTACCAAATAAATAAACAATATACGATTAACCTCAAGTTGTCTACCAAATAAATAAACAATATACGATTAACCTCAAGTTGTCTACCAAATAAATAAACAATATACGATTAACCTCAAGTTGTGTACCAAATAAATTGTAAGTTTCCAATGTAGTATGCATTGAACTCTCTCACGACTAAGGATTTTAAAAATTCAATTACATGATTACTTCAGTGATAACAGTCTTGAAAAATGTTATCATCACACATAAAAACTGATATTAAAAAAAGCAGATGCATTCTGATTTCTACAACCCAGGTTGTTCAATTTTTTTGCCAATTCTGTATTGACTTCTACAACCCAGGTTGTCACATTTTCATTTTATCTGGATTGTATTAACTGTGGCTTCTTCTTTTAATACTTGCATAGTCAAGTCCTGGATTATAAAGGCTTCGTCGTTGGCTGTTGTGTCCAAAGAACACCACTCCTCCCTGCTGGCTTTCAATGATCCATCTTGTCCTGATGACAACGGTTTTCCTTCTCCAGTTGAACAGACTGATCGTACAGAAATCCATAGGCAACTTGACTTGTATGTGTTTATAGCATGAACAAGTTTCATTCATCAGCTGCTTGAGGTATGCGACAATCGCACGAATACGTCGTGTAAGCAGCATGTGTACACTTGTGTCACTTCCTCCCCAGACTGAGATCCTTCCAGATTATGTTTTACACTGTTGCCTGGGAAATATGAACGGTTTTACCACTGACTTTTGTGTTCATTAATTTTCACCTGTTACAAGACGCAGCATTTTGCTTATCACTGCAGGCATACGACTTGTCTTAGAGCACTACTTGGCCGGTCCTAGTGTCCCAAGTTGATACATATTCCTTTATTTTACAATGCAATTAATTAAACGGGATATCCTCTTCTTGGAAATTCTATTTCAACTATCTTCACACAACTTTACGATTTGAGGACTATTATATATCATTCCCCAAAATATATGTTTTCGATGGCATCACACTACCTAAAAAATGCAAATAGTGATAAAGTGAAGTTCTTATACATTCCGTTCCACTGCGACTATATACCCAGCGGTTGCCACATGCCTAGCTGATCCATAGTTAGAGTCGTTTTAATATAACGTATACACATTGGCGTAGCCTTTTGCTTGTCATAACACTCACTTAACCAATGTAAAGGCAATAATAAAGTTTAAATATTATAAAAACATATAGAAATTATACGCAAATATGAATGTTAAGACTTGCCCTCCCCCACTTTTCAAATTCATTGATACGCAACTGCACGGTATACAGAACTCCTCTAGGTGAAGTGTTAAATTCGTTTGAAAGATATATTTATAGCCTGTAATAAATTAAATCTCCTTGAAATCCATTCTGACATATTTACTAATGAAATGCGTTATAAGTCAGCAATCTAAAAAGTTAATACCAGCCTCTTTTTTTCAATAATCTAGGTTGCCACGGTTACCCCTCCCTTTAGCCAGAGCAGCCGGACCTCCTCCAAAACCTAGATCCGCACCACCCTCTACTGTGGACCTGTCTTCCAAGGTCAAACTGCCTGAAGGTCATTACCGGGTGGGGTCTCAAGCCATTTACACGTGCGAGTCAAGATACTACGAACTGCTTGGATCTCAAGGTAGAAGATGCGACTCTAATGGAAAGTGGAGTGGTCGACCAGCAAGCTGTATACCAGGTAACATTAGTTTTAAATGGTATTTATCTTGAACTGGTTCCAGAAAAAAACAAAGACTAACTGAATTCCACTTATCAATAGGCCTAGTAGCTAGCTTATCTGACTGCTATTCATTACCACAAAACCACACTCCACAGTTTTTGGGTTTGTGGGTGCATTAGTGGAGTAAAGATTAATTTCCACTAGCACAAAAGTTTGCAGTGGATATTGTTTGATTAGCTGCCTTCCTTCTGTTCTATGATTTCAAAATAATGATGGGTAGAGTAGATAGACCTTGTATAGCTTTGTTTCAATTTCCGAAACAAAGAAACATTTATCAATCCCAAAAGAAGACTGTTCAGTACAATTGGCTACATTACATGTATTACACTTGACTGGTGAATCTCGACGAAAAATATTCATAAGAGATATGGTAGTAAAGGTAAAGAACCACATTTTGTTTTAGAGAAATCAGTTTTAAACTTATACTTTATCTTATATCTTTACAAGTAGAGCTACTTGCGTAGGTGGCAAGTGAGTCTTTTTTCTGAGTCACGTGCTCCTAAATGAATAAACTCTCCTTAGTGACTCACATCTCTGTCTCTTTCTCTCCACAAATACCGTATAATCTTATACATACTGCTCTTTTGGTTATTCAGAATGTGCTAGTAACTCATACAACTAGTAGTTAATTGTTTTTATTTCAGGCTAAACAAAATATAACTTAAACCACATATTGTAAAAGCTGAACCTAAAGCCTTTTAGAAAATTTCTGTAGGTTAAATTATGTGGCTGTCGCTTTGCTATTAATATGATGATAAAAGTTGCAAAGAACACTGACAATAAGTAACGAAATTGTTTGAGAGTATTATGATTACGCTATATTCCACTTCGTTTTCTTTTCTTATGGCCATAAGATTTATTTAGGTTGTATTATTTCTATTATGAATTGACTCATACCAATGTAAACATAACAAATTGCTGTGTATTACTGGTAACTAATAACACTTAGATTTAGAAATAAGTTTTGCTTCCTACTGGAAGCATATTACTTTCTTCCCTCGCCTCTATTGGTTTATTCATTCTCTCTCACATCTCTCTTTTTTTTTCTTTCGTTGAATTCTTGTCTTTTATATTCCTTTCCCAAACTGGTCCATTTGTTTCTGACCTTGAACTTGGTTCTTGTATATCAAATTATAACGTGTCTTGACCTTAGGGAATCTAGTAGCCTCCACACTGGCTGAACTTAGAAAGATGGCCGTTATACCTACTCACTGTATTATCTTCTAATAACTTAAGAGTACTGTAATCCCCTAATTCCTTAAAGACTGACCAAAGGCCAGCTGCTTTCTCACACACTCTCAGCTTCAACTGATTATACCTTGGTAACAGAAAGCTACGAGTATTAAAACGTAATAATAAATTTAGCATAGAAATGTGCATGGGATTAAATTTATTTTATTTTATTTATTTTTTGCTCAGCCTGAACAATGTTTTTAGAAAATTTATAAGTGTCTTAAAATGTTAGATCATATCCATATTACTCGAGTGATTACTATATTTATGCTTATCTATTGTGGAGCATTCATAATGTATATATAATATAATTCAAATTATTTATTTAAGTATTCACTCACCCACCCCTCTTGACACAGCAGTAAGTTTTGGGGCTTATAACGTTATAATCAAGGTTCGATTCTCCATGTTGGATACGAGCACAAATGGTTAAATCTGTAGTTTCACCGTTAACAACAAATAGTATTGCCACCCCTGGTGGCTCTAAAAATTTGTTTCAATGCCCGCAACTGTCGGCGCGCAGACAACCAATTGTTTAGCTTTGCACTTAACAATAAAAAAAAATCAATGTATTATATGAAAAACTTAGCCTTTAGTTTGTCGTTGAATATAGTAATATAACTTATCAACAGATGGCAGCAGTATTTAAAAATGATAGGAAATATGCAGATAAAATTTATTTCGTTGTTCACATTCTTACACACATTTTTTTTCACTGTTCATACATTTTCCAGTTTGTGGACGGTCAGACTCTCCCCGTTCTCCTTTCATCGTCAATGGAAATTCCACCGAAATAGGTCAGTGGCCGTGGCAGGCAGGAATCTCCAGATGGCTTGCAGATCATAATATGTGGTTTCTTCAGTGTGGAGGAGCCCTACTGAATGAGAAATGGATCATTACTGCAGCCCACTGTGTCACCTACTCTGCTACTGCCGAGATCATTGACCCAAGTCAGTTTAAATTCTACCTGGGCAAATACTATCGAGATGACAGTAAGGATGATGACTACGTACAAGTAAGAGAGGTAAGGTATCCTTGATAAAATGACTGAGACATACAACAATTCAGTTTTGTTGGTCGAAACCTAGGGTGTGTTGTACTACAAGAAATACACTAACAGCGTTTGAATGTTAAATTCTTATAATAATTAGAGACCCAAATCAAAAATATATAGTGTTACGTATTGCGAATTTGAAATAGTCCGAAGCCGGTATTTAAGTTAATTCACACAAATACGTTTATATATATATATATACATACTAGCTGAGTTACCCGGCGTTATACGGTAAAAATTTAGATTTGAAATGTATAGATCAGTATTTTGTTTCAGCAAATTATGCAGTAAGTAGACAAAAGTTGTGATGCGAGAAATAACAAAGCATTTAATCAAACAAAGCTTTATTTGAAATTAGATCGTGTTTGAGCTTGTCTTGCTCGTTGAGCCTGAAGTCGTACATCATGTTGCTCCTCTGTTTCTTGCTCTCTGTAAGTTATTTTTCTTAATTTTTGTGCTTGAAGTCTGGTTTGACGTTGTTCAGAAATTTCTTGTTGTTTATATCCAGCTTGCCTTGATGATTCTGACTGAACTCTGGCTTTGTGCTGTTCAACAGTTTCTTGCTGTCTTTGAGTAGCCTGTCTTTCAGCTTGAGCTCGAAGTCTAACTTTACGTTGTTCCAAAGTCTCTTCCTGTATTTGAGCAGCCTGTCTTGCAGCTTGTGTTTGAAGTCTTCGATTGTGTTCTTCTT